TCAAAACATTTGCACTTCTGTATATTTGACCTGTGAAAACTCTCATTCATAATTGTTCATAATCCAAAATAACAGTGAAGTATATACAGTAGTTCTGTGTATACAGTAGGAATCATTCTGTAAAGTGATAGTGTAGTTAGCACTTACTCTGGGTCCAGGGCTTCCCTGTGGTCCCTGAGGCCCCTGAAAGAGTCAGGCACATAGAAAACAAGCGTTAAAATGGCTAAAACGATTACGATACACATAGAACTTCTACATAAATAACACACACGACGAAAAATAAAATAGATTAAATAAGTGCAGCCTCACAGTGAACAGAATGGAACAGATTCGTGATTCATCTTCCTTCAAGCGCCTTGAAGCGACTGTTGTTGCGATTTAGCGCTGTATAAATAAAATTGAATTGGACTGAATTGAATTGAATCCTTCTCTGAGATGCTCTGTAGAGCGACAGTAGTATCACACACATACTGCCCCCTCTGGTGGACTAGGGACAAAACATTGGTGCGGCTGAACTTCATGATGTCTGTAAGTGGAATCTCAAGCACTTTATATCCATACCATATTGTGAGCACATTTTAACAGCATCTGAGTAAAGCCTAGGATTAGAGGCCCATCGAGTACAGTGTGTTTCCGTGTGGTAGGGTGAAATGCAGAGGGATTTGCAAAGGACTGACAATCCAACTACCACGACCGAGAAGTGACTGTGTGGATTACACTGCGGCTTTCCCTGCTAACATTTTGTCAAGGCACTTCCTCAGCATTGTTTACACAAGAGGGCCCCACACTGCGCTCCGGGAGAGCGTGCTCATTATGACTCAGCCATAGCCTTAGCCTAAAGTGTCATACAGCACCGACACTTTAAGAAAGCCGTATAAACAAAACTACCACTACACCCTAGCTCACATTCATGTAACTTTCATCATCTACAGCTCTGTTTTTACACGCACAAACTGCTTTGAGGTGGCCGCTAAGACAACCGAGTGTTTCTCAGTCAGGAATGTTTGACACTTTGGCAGAGTGCAATCATGACATAATAATACAGAAGACTTTCCAGGTTTTGATTAAAGGGTTTGATTGCATCTCACCATTTCACCACTGTTTCCTTTTGGACCCCTTGGCCCCTGCAAAAAAGGATAACATAGCATAAAGACACATACAGCACTGTATTCCAATCTGTATTATCAATCAACATGGCCAGAAATTAACTGTCTTTATTGGAAATTAAAGAATACATACAGTGAAAGTCTGAATGTCAGAGTGTAATAATTCCTTTTTCTTTGTACAAGTCTTACACACACACACACATACACAAAATGAGAAAAAAAACCTACAGGTTTTCCCATTGGACCCATTTTTCCTTCAGGGCCTAGAGGTCCAGTGAAGCCCTGGAACAAACAGTGACATTGCTGAAAAGGCAGTAAAAACATCTATAAAGCCTTCAAGGTGTACTGCACATGTGTCTACATTCATGTTCTCTTCATAAACACTTTGACAACAGGGAACAAAACAAAAATCTATTTATATTTCTGAAAGTTATTTCCTGGGTGGGATTTGATTTAAAGCAGTACTTCTGAAGAAAGCACCATTGTGTGCCTACCTGGTCCTATTTCAGTTTCTATTAAACTCACCAAAGTACCCATAGGACCTTTAGGACCAGGGAAACCTCTCAGTCCTAAATCACCAGTTGGCCCCTGTTTCAAGGAAAAAGATATTTGTTATTTCTTATTCTAACCTACTCTCCTGTTATTTTTTATCGTTTTTCTATACACTCTTAATACATGTTGGCCACTCAGTTGTTTACCTTAGGTCCTGGTAAGCCCTGTAAACCAATCATGCCCAAATCTCCAGTTTCCCCCTATAAAAAACAAAAAACAAAAAACACAATATGCAAAAGATGGCTCTTTTAAAAAAAATCTCTCAACAATATCCGGAGTAGAATTACGGAGATTTACTCATAAAAGTGGGTGCCTAAGACAAATAGGTCTTAAGACACATACAAAACATAAAGCCAACACTTATTATTGGAGATAATGGACAATAGAAAATAAGTTGCTTATTTCTTTCTTCTCCAATGGAGGAGAAAGGAACTTGATATTTGTTATTTAATATACTGAACATACAATAGGTAAAGACATATAGCATGTTTGTGGCATGTGTGTTCACACTTATACATCTTTTGAGGACCAAAAATACTTGTGGGGACCAACAGTCCCTTATGGGGCCCAAATTCTGGGCCCCATAAGTCTGAAGGCATTTTTGGGGCACAAAATGTGGTTTTAGTGTCAGGGCTTCAGTTAGGTTATGGTTAGGTTTAGGCTAAGGGTTAGACATTTTTGATGGTTAGGGTAACGGTAAGTGGCTAGGGAAAGCATTATGTCAATTAGATGTCCTTACTAAGATATAAAAGGCAAGTGTGTGTGTCTGCGGCAGTCTCAGTGCACACACTCACATGACCTAGACACACTGTGAGGGGATGGATGTCTGCGTCCTATCCTGTGTCTAAGCACATGCCTTCCAGGGTGGCAGACAGTGTTTGTACAGCCAGTCTTCCACATTCTTTAGACAGCTCCACTTTGAAACCGGTGACTCTGGCCCAGAGACTCTATTGACTAAAATGTGTAAAGGGATCTGACCCAAGGGTCTGAGTCTCCTCTCAGTTTCAGGAGCATCAGTGGAGATAACTATAGGAGGGGAGAGCAAGGGATTAAATGCTGTTTCTTCGGGGAGTTACATAAGTAAAGCGGAGCACCTCTTTTTCCAGGTCCCTGGAGTGTGAGGATCTTACATAACTTGGCCTCACCCGGCGGAATGTTTCCATTCCTAGTCTCGCCCAGATAATTTGTTACTCTACTCAGGTTGGAAAAGTGTCAGGCACACATTGAAACCTCACCAAAGATTGGCTTCATATGTCCCTGAAGCTATATTTAGAGAGGTATTAAAGAATGTATATAAGCTTATTAAGCCATATTTCAACAAGTGCATTCCAGTGGAAAGTAATGTATATACTCTACCGGGTACATGAAAAAAAGACATGACAAGTATCTGTGAAAAACACACAGCCTGAAATAAAAACTGTACAAATGTGAAGATTAAAGAGTTACAAAAATTTGTCAGGCATAGAATTAAAAAAAAAATCTATATTGTATCTTGATTTAATATTATGTGATGGAACTAGTTAATTTGATTTTGTAGCACTGTCTCTAAATGTGAATTCAGCTAACAGCATCCTGGTCCTGGGTTTGATGGAGCTTGAAGTTTTGGTTTTTGGTTGGTTTAGGGGTTACAGTTCATTTATTTAGCGTATTTTGTTGTATTCCTTGTTCCTGGCTGTTTATTCCTCCCTCTGTGTTTGTCCTCTTGTGTCGAGTATTCTGCATTTAGTTAATTTATGTGTCTGTGCTTCCCATCCATTATCACACTTCTTGCCTCCCCTGTGCCTCGTTGTGAAGTCTTAGAATTTGATATTCTCGTCTTTTGATTACTTCGTGTCCTACTTTGATAGTCCCTCGTCTCTTGGTCACTGTGTTTTGTTTCTCTTGTCTTGCTTTCCCAAAGGAGTTTCAGCTGTGTTCCCCAGTGTTTCCAGTCTCCCTAATTGCCTGCTGCGTGTCTATATATTCTCTGAGCCTCCCTAATGCCTCTGTTATTGTTTTGTTTTACCCATGAAACACCAGCAATAAACACTGTTTTAAGTTTAAGTCCTGTCCTGCATCAGAGTCATAATCCTGTCTTCTAAACACACATTTCAAACATACAGTTAGAGCCAAATGTTTTGCACACTGAGACTGTTTCTGTGAACCACCACAGTGGATTTTAAATCAAACAAACAAGATGTGATTGAAATGCAAATTTTAGATTTAAATGATCTTAAAAAGAGTTTAACTAAAGTTTTTAAATTAACTGTTAAGGAATTACAGCTGTTTTTATATATAGGCCTAATTGTATGTCAAAACTTTGATAATAAATCACAGAACTACCACACAGTTTACAACAAACGTTCTCAAGTACTATTAAAGATTGACTTCTATTTTAGGACTTTGCTTGCATGTACTCACAGACAGCCCTTTGGGTCCTGGGTCTCCTTTCTTTCCCTGGTCACCTGCAGCTCCCTTCATGCCCTTGAGTCCAGGGCCCCCCCTGTCTCCTGGTAGGCCAGGTTCTCCCTGATCCAATAAAAGGTCAATTAAACAGTTTAGGTGCATGTCACAGTAGCATTTTATCTCACCGGAGATGACTTTCATCTATCAAAACTCTGCAAATAAAATGGGTCTTTATAATGATTAACATTTCCACCTTGTGACCTGGCAGTCCCCTTTCTCCAGAATGTCCAGGAAGTCCAAGTTCTCCCATTGGACCTGGCCGTCCAGCAGGCCCTTCCAGTCCCACTGAGCCCCTCTGACCCTACATACACACAAGAGGTGATTGAACAAATCTTTGCCAAGGTTAAAAAGGTACTAAAGTTAGTGTGCTTCCTCAAAAGGCACAACACAAAATCCCCAAAACATTATGCCACTGTTTAAAACACTACTCTACAATAGTAAATGACATATATAGTGACAAATTTGAGGTCTATCTTATCGGTGCCTCTTCTGTTTAAATGTTGCTATTAAACAAATGACACTCAAACTTCTGACAAAGCAGACAAAACCAAAAGCATAGTCCTCTGCAAAAACTAAACACAAGTGTATAAATGCATGTTGGAAAAATCATTTGGAACTTGAGTGTTAGTGCAGAGGGTTATTTACTGATGGTAAATATTGACATCTACTACAATTAGTTGCTATAGAGTACAATGACCACTATTTCCAGTGTTTCATTTTTAAATATATAAACAAAATTCTAAAATTGTTGTGTTGAAGCAATTTTAGAACACGGGTTCTCGACAGCATATGTCTAAAGGCTGTCCAGAAAACCTGTTAGTGAGTTGTTTTTTACTTTGTAGACCACAGTGGTTTCCTGCTCCATCAGCAGTGTAGGTGAGGCAGCAGGGAGCCTGAGATTTTAGAATAACACACTCAGTGAGTTGTTGCCTCACATGTGGCTGACAGTGAAGAGACAGGATACTTTAGGAATTTCGGTGGAATTACACCACCAGTGGTTTACTGGACGAAACCCACAGTATGCAGGTGTTGGCAGACCCTTAGATAAACCAAGGTCTGAACAATTTACCCTTCACCTTTCCCCACATACAGGAATGTGGGTAAAAGGGGCTATGTGCCATTTAGAAATCATTTTAACTTCTAATCAAAAGAAAATGACTTGGAGGGTAAACATAAATTTGTTGAATTTGAGCCCGAAAGAGACAGATTTTAACTTTTCAACTAATTTGCACACGAGAGGGTCTGTAAATGTCCCGAATGGCAGACCAGATTAAACCTAGATAACAACATCCATAGACATCTGGTACTCTGCATGTGATGCATAATCGGTTCATCATTTTATCATATTAGAAATTAATGTCGTGATTCTTTTTAATATGAGCATGAATTGTTAAGTTATTTCCAAAAATGTCATTTATGATGTCACAGTGAATTTTGTGCCAACTTAGGCACAAAGGGCAAAGACGATAACGACAAAAGGATTTATGAAACCTGACAGTTTTTTCTTGGCAGCTTGAGTGAAAAACTGAAACTGATTCACTGATTCACAGAAAAGCTGAAAATTATTTGAAAGGGGCTCTCCAAGACTCAGAATCAGCCGCTTTTAAGCAGCAGTTTGATTTAAAGACTTGAAGTCAAGGAGCGAAGAACGTCCTTTATCAAGTAAAAAAAACAACGGCCCTCTACTGCAGCAGACCTGAAAATTTGCCTTCTTGTGGAGCTGAAAGTAAAAAGTGATGCAATGTCAAATCATTGCATCACTTTTTACACAGCAATGTAAGACATGTTACTATATTTAAATTAGACAGATATAGTCAAAGGAGCTTGCAAAGAAGACTACGATGACCTGGATGACTGAGAACCTTCACAGACATAGACAGATATAATTTTAAGGGATTATTCACGTTCTTCCAACACCAGTTTATAAGAACAGGTCTCTCTAAATAAAATGCTAATTTAAAAAAAACACAAGTGCAGTTGGGGGTGTTACCAATAAGAAACTGTATAGTTTTAGTTCATCTGAAAAGCATCAATGGCTAAAATTAGCCTCACTAGACTTTCATACAACATTATCTAAATGAAAGCCAGACCAGTAGGACTTGGCTTTCCAACTTGGCTAAAAGGACTTTTGCACGCATGTAATCCCAGTCCACTTTGGCTGCATACATATTTGGAGAGGCCCAAAATGAAGAGGCCAATCAAATCAAACAAGACATTGAATGATCAGTCCAAGTCTCCAGTCCCACTCATGCAACAACAGATGGAAGGAGCTGGAGTAAACCTTTGGTCACTTGCAATTCCACGAGTCCCATTTGTTGATTTTTGTGGTGCTGCAGTGGTATCTTTCCAAAGCACGCCACAAGTCTCCAGTAAAGGAACTCCCCTGTTGACAGTTTAGCTGTGCAACTACATCTTTCGACTCCTTCTGCGACCAACATTAACAGTGCTCATGGTGAAAAACATTCAACTGAACTCTGCTTTTTAAATATATTTCATTAATGTGAGTCTATTGAATTGCCTAAAATAGAAAGCTAACCAATTACTTAAGGCTACCGTAGTTAGCTTTTGCTATAATGTTAATCCCAACACCAAGGAAACACTGCTGTCTATATGTCACCGATTACCTGTCGACCTTGCTTTCCTGGAAGTCCTGCTAAGCCAGTTGGTCCCGGGGGGCCATCAGGGCCTGGATAACCCTTCATTCCTGTGAGCCCAGGTAAACCAGTCGGCCCCTGTTAAATGACAGTGTCAGTTTCAGCCTGAGGGGCATTTAAAAATGCCATCAATCTTTTCGTAAAACATCACTTTCCGTCAATTTCCTCGTGACTATATTTACACCTGTGATTCTTCCTCCGATGCTTAGCCTGAAGCACTGAAGTCCACCATCTGGATTGTTAGAAATTACAATAAAATATTTATCCTGGTCTTCTCTGTCTTCATATTTCTCAGTTACTTTGTCTTTCAGTTACTTTGTTTTATTTTGAAGGTTGGTTTTCTTGTGTGTCTTGCTCTGGGTTTTGTCTCCTGTCTTTGTTCCTTTCCTGCCTGTTTATTTCCAACTGTGTCTCATTGTCAGTCATCCCTAAGACTGTATGTCTAGTCTTGTCTTTCTCTTTGTGTAATCATCTGCTCCCAGATGTCCTACCTTTGTCTTTAGTGCCTTCCTCATAGTTTGATTTAGTTTAGTTTTTGCATTTTTATTGCAATCATGTTGGGTTTTGGCTTATCAAGTTTTTTTAAATTAAAGCTCACATCTGTTTATTTTCTCAATGATCACTGTTGATCTTGTGATTTTTTTTCTTTTACAGGAATGAGAACCGTGTAGACATATGCAATAATTTGATGATGCAGAAGGTTCTCAGCTAATGTAAAAAGGCGGCTGCTTCTCTTTAGGCCATTCACTTAATTGAGCTAATATGATGCTTACTTCAATGCCGGGAACTCCAACCAGACCTCTTGCTCCTTTCTTTCCAGCCAAACCCTAGAAAAACATAAACATGAAAAATAACATGTGCATTAAAAAGAAAACACAAATGTTTTAGTATATCACTCTCTACACAGTAAAAATGTGATTTTTACTATACTTCACAGAGAAATGTTTCAGATTTGAGTGAAAAAAAATCACTGAATACTGTTGCAAGAAATGTCCAGTTCAAAACCTTTATGGATACTTTAAAACCATAACAGCTAAAAACATAAACCCAGTGATAGTGATTTATTCATAGTCCCAGAGAGATATTGTTTAAGAAACGCTTTATCAAAGCTGTTAATCTAAAACAGGCATACAGAAGATCCTCAAAGTTTCCAGTGTTTCCTGGCAGGCTGCTAAGTTCTCAGTGCTTCTAAGCATATGGAAATACAAGTTGCATGTTAAGGTATTGCACAAACTTCATTTGAACTCAAGTTTGGCGAAATCCACTGAAATGCTTGGACAGTATGTGAACTGCTTATATAATCACTCTTCTATACAAGCTGTTTCACATGTAGTGGTGAGTCAGTCATGTCTGTACACCTGTGACACTTCAAGATTACAAAAGGCCGTATGGAACCAGATCAAGGAGCGTCAACGCTGTTGCACAGGGAAATCATAGTTATGCATAGTTATGCAATTAGAAAGCCTGTGAAGACCGAGGGCTCTAAAGAACATGAGACTAAGCAAGCAAACCTGTTAGTTCAAGGTAGCACATGTTAGTAAAATGTATCTGCAATTTAAGTATCAAAGAACAAAAAGCAATGAGCCATTAATAAACATCAGATAAAATATTAGAGAAGTTTAATGGTGCATTCAGGGTGTAAGGAAAAGCTGCAGTTCCCTGGTTGCTGTCCAAATTTCATTGCTCCAAGCCTTTTTTTTTTTTTCTTCAACCGCCTGCTTTCTATCTCGATGAAGTAAGCAGAACAGAAGCAGAAGTTGAGCTAAAATTATCTAGCGTGACAAGCAGCTTAAACATCTGTACCAGCATGCTCCTGTGGTGACAGCTAAAAAATGACAAATTGGGGAGTTTGGTTAAATCTGTTTGCATCTGGTTTTGTACATTTTCTACTGTCAGGTGTAAATCCATCATTCCACGCAGAGAAGAGACCAAATTTAGTGATTTCCTAAACTATTCACATTATTGAAAAGCTGTATTATGCTGTATGTGAATGGTGTCAAGTCTCACCGGAGCTCCTTTTTCTCCTTGTGGGCCTGGTTCTCCGGGGGAGCCTGGAGATCCCTGTGCGAAGGAAGAATACACTATAAAGTAAGTAGAATATAAACATGCAAAATATTATCAAGCTGTGTAGATCTATATAAAAATGATATGCAAGATTATGATTTTAAGGAATATCCTTGTTTACCCTACTTCTTAATCGAGTCACTTTTAACACTCCACAGCATGTACAGTATATCCCACAGTATAGATCCTAATCTAATAGGCATTTTCCTGTTAGGAGAACAATCACACGCTCAAACTGAATAAAAAGTTTTGATTTAAAGACGTACTTATCTGTCACCCTTTGAAAGAACACATTTAGATGTTTCATATATTTATCATCACCACAATAAGGCCAGCACACAGTAGAGATATTTAACTGTGGGTAAATGTAAAAAAACAACAGATTAAATAGTGTTGCTACGGCTGTGTGGCTTCTCTGCCATTAGGTCATGGTAGTCTTAAGCTTGAAAATAAAAAGGCAACCAGACTTCTTTAAGTCTCCTTTAGCTCTCATCCACGAGCCTTCTTCAGTCTAAAACTTCGGTTTAGTTCTTTGTAAATTTTTAGGCAGCTGTTTACTGACTTACCGGTGGGCCTTGTGGTCCAGAAGCCCCACGAGGTCCAGGGGTACCGATATAGCCCTGAAACATAATTTTCAGATTTGATGAGTAACTTTTTATTTGTGAATAATACATACACGTCATTCTCATGTTCTTTGCTAAAGAGGGAGCCCAAAAGCATAATTAATGTCTATACCCAAAGGCCTCTTTTCCACCTGCATTAAAAACTCAGAGGCTCCATAGTATCAAAACTAGGATTTTTTTATATTACCTATAATTGCACCGAATTAAACTATTTCATCCATTTACTTAACTAACCAGTCTGTATCTTTTGTCCTGTCTAAGGAAACTACAGAATAATACAACAAAGACAAATGTATCTAAAAACCAAAATGTTTTATATGTTAACGACAATGAAGATTTTTGAATTTGGAGACGAGTTCACAGACTAGCATAGTCACCCCTCCCCCCAACCCCAGTTAATACGTTGCCATCACCGTGAACTTGTGCTCAAGTGTGTGTACTTCTTGGGAAAAAGCAGCAGATTTTCTCGGCCTTATTGCTCGGATTTTGGTAATCCTCTCCAACATGTGTGGTCTGCTCTTCATGCGAAAGGGGAAGCGTGGAGTATAAACAACAATCAAGCAGACTGAGCGGAGTGCCGTGTGTCTGACGTTTAATGGTTCGTTTCTACCTGATAGCCTTCATCCCCCGACTCTCCACGCTCTCCTCGTTCCCCTGGAGGCCCCTGCGTAGACAATGAATGCACACACATGAATGTGCATACTGCATATACGTACAGGCCTGTCTTTTACCTGCACAGCTTCAGGTGAGCTGGGCACCTACTCAGACTCACTCCCCACATATCAAACACATGAATCTCTCTGAACGTGATTACAGGGTACAATAAAGCAGAGGCTGGCATTGTATTGCTTATACTATACACTGCAATTCTGTGCCAACTTGAAAATTCAATACTACTGACGTGCAGACAGCCAATACCTCCAACTGTTCATGCAGTGTAGCCTCTGTCAGTAGTCACGTCTATTGCAGGGGGAAATGCATCTTAGAGAACACAACTGTTGTATGACTGCATGACTCCGGGGTTTCCAAAGCCGCTTTATGCTGATCCTCCTTTGATATTAGTCTAAGAATGAGTCACTGTGAAATATGCTGAATTCTTGTGGTGACTTAGGTATTAGGAAGAAAACTTTAGCTGTGCACTGTGTGTGAGGTAGCTGTTTTGTCTCTAACTTCTCAGTCAGTAATTAAGACACAGAAGGTTGATAATCGCTTCATGCACATGACAGATTTAGGATAAGAAACTTTTTTATCAATGAGTGCATTTGGTGCTAAAATCAGGAGCTGATCAGGATTAACTTTTACATCCAGTCTCAATCTGGTATTTAAATTGCTTTGGATAAGCAGAGCAAGGAGAGTTCAGAAAGGAGAGTTTAAAGGAAAGCAAGACCTACTGGTTCACCTAAGGGCCCTGGCAGTCCTGGGGTCCTGTTGTCCTCGCCTGGGTAACCCTGGGACGTAGCAAACGCAAACATACAATCATAGATGAATGGATGTAGATTGCAGGCAGATAATTTAGTACTTTAAAGAACTCTGAATAACCTAAGAAATCCAGTTAAGGACATAAGTCACAAATTCAGGTATCAAATTACCTTTTCACCTTTGGGTCCTGGCGGGCCAACGGGCCCAGGCTTTCCAAGGTGCCCCTAAAAGAAAAAAAAGAAAACCTGATTATTGTGCGTAATGGAGCTGCCACACTTCCGCTAGCTTTTAATCAGAACTGTTTTTTAGGGATAAACAAAATTCCATATATTATGTCAGATTCAATCAAGTCTGAAGGACTCTAAAAGCACACATGCACACACAGATTCAAAAAAAACATTAGCAACAAGCATTAGGCTCTATTTGTGTAGAATTTGTAAAGGTATTTTCTGTCATCTAGTGTTTATGAGGATATCTCAGGCTACCGAGAAAAGCAAAGAAGGATGACTGATGTGTCAGTCATCCTTCTTTGTTCAATAACTGTGAGTAAAGTGTTCTGGCATGAAAATCTCAGGGCACTGTACTCATGGGGTTTTGTGCGTTTCTGAGCATGTGCACATATGGTTGTTAAGTTTTCGTGTGTGTGTGTGTGTTTATCCCACATGGTTTATACAATACACATTCATGTATACACGAGTGAAGACAAAAAGACTGTTTTCATGAAACCAAGTTTAGAAAAGAAAAACTTACTGGGTATCCTGGAAGTCCCGGTTGCCCGTCTATCCCCATGACTCCAGGCTGACCCTGGAAACAATGCAGAAAATGCGAAATAAGGCCTTGAATCAGTCATGGTGCTTCTGCTTTGCTTTTTAGGTCTTCTCCAGATAAATATATATTTGGCAGGCTTATAAATCGTTGATCCACAGCTATATCAAAGTAGTCTCAGTGGTTCTACTGAAAGGGGAGCTGAAAAAAATGTCTGGCATCCTCCTAGCTTGCCATCTCTCGCATCTTCTTGTTTTGGTTTTAACAGTTTGCTTTGGTTTTAAAATTCTGAGTTTGATTGACTTCAGCAGTATAAAGAATTAATTATACACAAGATGTGTCTTTTTTCGCCTCTCTAGCCCATTATAGCTAAAGGTTTAGCTGATACAATTCCACAGATTCAATTAACAAACATCATAGACTGCAGGCCACACCTTCAATATAAACTGTGGCTTGCCGTCTTCAACACCTACAGTAGTAGAAGAAGAAATGGGAACTTACAAGTGTGCCTCGAGTTCCCCTGGCACCTTTCAGTCCTGGCTCGCCCGGCTGGCCGATGTCTCCCCGAGCGCCAATCTCCCCAGAAAGACCAGGAGGACCCCTCTCTCCCTGTAAAAGATTGTAAATATAATTAAAAGACATAAAAAATATTATTATTAATAAATCTTGCTGTTTTATTGTAAGCAGGTTACTTTAAAAATAAACTATAAGACTAGATGCCTCAGTGGCTCTCTGTGTTAAATGTGCCCTTTGTGTTAAATGGAACTTGGCTGGGAAACATGGTGTTGAACAGGATATTTACTTTCTTTCCGTGCCGTCCTCTGTTTCCTGGGGGACCCGCTTTTCCTTCTGGACCCTGCAATGTGATTGCCAGGAAATTATATTGCTTAAAATACGTTTTAAAAACTTAATGGTGTATCCCAGAACAGTCATATTCTGGAGTCTGTCTCACTTTATTGCCCGATGTTCAGATTAAACACTAACCAGCAGATACTGATACACTAGATACACTCTGAATCTGCGTCCTTCCCTCCAGATAACAATGACCTTCTTGCTCCTTGTCACCCATGGCTAGACTTGGATCTGTATCTCCAAACACCAAGAACCTAAGATCTGCAGCTATCAGACCATGCTACACATCCAAAATCTCTGACAAGGTAAATTTATTAACCCAGTAGCAAAACGTTTTTATTGAAGAGCAGAGTGACCCCTACTGGGAATCAAAGGCATTATTTACAGAAATGTCTCTCTAGATTTCCATCATTTACATGAAGTTTGCTGTATTATCTGAAAGTTAAACTTTGGGACCAATATTAACTTACACGGAAGCCCTGTTTCCCAGGCTCTCCGGGTGGCCCCGGGGGTCCAGGATCCCCTTCTGTCCCTTTCTCCCCTGGCTCCCCAAAAGGCCCACGCTCTCCAGGTTCACCCTGGCAATTTAACATAGAAAGAGGAAAACAGGCACACAAGAAAAGAGTAAAAGTAAAGACAATTCAGCAACAATAGAATAAGCTTTTATTATATTACCACTAGAAAGATGGAAGATTTGGGGCAAACTAACATGACTTTCACCCGCTTCTGTAGATTTTAATATCATACTCAAATCCAGCATGAAATTAAGTGGATATACTAAGTAATGCAATGAGATTCAATGTACCACTGGGATGACCTTATTTTGGAATCCTGAGCTAATCTGCGGATGTTCTAACATTTTGATTTACTGTCATAGGGTCAGTCCTGCTAAAATAAATCTTTTGGCTCCCTGGTTCATTTGATCAGAAATAATCAAGAACACACAAGTCAACAAACCTTGGCTCCATCTTTTCCCTGAGGTCCGTCTTCACCAGGGGGACCGGGAGGACCCTTAAAACATAAAAACAGTTTTAAATACATCTGCTGTAAAAAGTTAGAAATCAGCAGTTCCTATTACATCTCAACTCAAGTGCCAAGAAAACTACAATGCATCTATGAATTTTTACTTTAGTTTTAATTGGAGCCGTTTATGAAATAGACAGTGATTTTTAGTAACAGGCATGCTGCTTCTGGAAATCCTCGGCAAGCTTAAATAATACTCTGCACAACTTCATATCACTTGGTAACACAAGATTGTTTAATAATTTGTGTAACCTGTGGTTACGTGTGATAAAAACGCTCCCAGCCCAACCTAATCCAACCAACTGCATGCATGCATCCTCAAATATACTTGCACATCACTTCAATGTGATGAGAACTAGAGTGGGTATTTACTTACTCTTGTATATATAATGTGTTTGTTTAAAACAAAAATACATTAAGAGATAATTATTTTTGCGTAAGGCAAAACTCATGCAGCACTCTCTTAAATCAAAATAGATTCATGAAAAATTCAAATTATGTTGAAATCCTCAATATAATCATTTAAACTATAAAACCTAGACCTCATAGAACATCTGCACTGGTAAGATCTCCACAGAAACAACCATACTGCCACATGTCACATACGATCCAGGTTTTTGTTTTCCATCCAAGTATTTGATAATCGGATAACTTTCATTGATTTTTGAAAATTCCATCCATTCACATAATGCAATTAAACAATGGGATCACACCAGTACCAATACCAGTGAGTTTTTAGGTCACACATATGTACCTAGTTTTAAAGCAAAGACTGTATTTGAAAGCTGGATGAAGCCATCAACTGAGGGATGTTGCACTTTGAATGGAAGCAAGTCAATTACAATGTAACCACTAAAACACATCCGGCTTTATAGTCTATTTTACTGTAAATGGGACAATAATTTAGAAAAATGAACATAGTGTGGAATAAAATAAGATATAAAACTAGTGACTGTGACCATAAACTCAATGGTTTGCTGAAGTCATTAAGTTATGTAAGGAGTGGTGTTGATTTTTGTTTTTTGGGGGGCTTCTTTTCCCTAATAGTCTATTCTAAATTACCTAGATTTTTCACATCAAAGGGGTTTCCAAAAGGATTGCAGATTTAGCTAGCTTCCTCTCAGACATTTTACATAATGAAAATAGTTTTATGTACATATGAGGAACTTAAAATACACGAAATGATGAAAGGACGGTAGAGACTGGGGCATAAAGTGCGTGCATGTTTGACAGAAGCCGCTTGGCCCCTCTGCTGCTGACAGCTTATATTCAGTGCTTATATGCCTTTCTTTGCAATAAGCCTCGACTTAATGAAACACTTATCTAACACACAATGTTTTTGAATGGATCTTGCACAGTTAAGCCCTGTCATGTTAAAAATGGCAAGCGGATAAAACATCTCTGTCAGAATGAGGGGGGTGAGTAAATATACAACTGGGTTAGGGTTACCCGAACACAGGGAAGGAAGGGATTAGCAAACTGCAGTCACTCACTCTCATTCCCTCCTGCCCCTGCTCCCCTTCAGCTCCTGGAGGCCCAACATCACCCTACAGGGAGACAAAACACAACAAGAAGCTGGCTGGAGGTCAGAACACACATATTTGCATCACCTGCTGGTCACTTTCAACGAGCGTGCCCATTGATTTGCACATTGGTGGAGCAGGAAGAAGGCCAAGGTTCAAGAATTATAACAAGACAGTACAAACCTTTGCCCCGGGCTCTCCAATGGCACCTGGTTCTCCCTCTAAGCCTGGTAAACCCTACAATGATGGGAAAGAGAACCATAGGCAATATTTCATTTGTATACATTTGGATAAGATTGTCAAATAATACTCATAATCAATAAAGCATCATGAGCATTTAATGTAAAGTACTTCAGGTCCTTGTTCTCCATCAGGTCCAGCCTCTCCAGGAGGTCCTCTGGGTCCCTGTAAGAAAAAGAACCACCATGGCTAAAGCACACAAACACAATGATTCAGGAATCTCATTAACTTCTACTTCAGGAACTTAAAACAAAATAGAACAAAATAGATATAATACAAAACTCTAGCATGTAATGCCACAACTTTTAATTATATGTCTAGTCTAGAAAAAGAACTGAGAGATGAGATTGTGTGGAATAAAAAGACTGAAGACCAGCCAAACACACAAGATGAGACCTATAACATAAACCGAGCCTCTAGCATTACAGAAAGCTCTCACCCTTATAAATATCTGTATCTGATTGTTTGACATTCCTCCTGCCCCTGTGGGGACTGAAGGAGTTCCAGGGAAATTAAGAATTTGAAGACTAAGCCAAAAAGGGAGGCACAAGGTGGGGAGCATTCAGGTGTGGGGAAAGCAGAAGAGGGAAGAAAACAAAGAATATCAAATATATACTCTCTCCCCCGAAATGAAACCCGCATGTTCTCCCTGCTGTTCTCATTACATGTTCTGCTGAAGGTGTTTTTCACAGCATGCGGTTTGTTTACAGTTTCCTGTAACAACCACATCAATGCAGCAGAAAAAAAGCACATACTTACTGGTTCACCTTGGGCTCCCCTCTCCCCGGTGCTGCCTGGAATACCTGGTTTTCCCTGGAAACATAATCATGAGCTCAGCGGTGATTCACTCAAGCATCCTGTGTAGTTAACAGAAGTCATGCACGGCTTCTCGTCATTACCAACACCACCATCATTATCACCACAATTTCCAGTGTGGCCACACGCACGCGATGACTGAGTTTAATATTTCAAGGTTGCCTGACAGCTACAGACACAACACAGAAACTCCAGGATGAGATTCTGTTTGTCGTAGTCCAAACATTGTATAGCCAAGACACTCCAATTATGTGACCAATGGCATTTGTTTTTATGCCTGTGAGCTAAATTTGCAACATTAGAAGTTTTGTGGCTCATGAAGCAGAGCAGGTCATCTGCTAATTTAAAGGTTGGTGGTTTAATCCCTGGCAAAGTATTCTTGGGCAAGACACTGAACCCTGAGTTACTTCTCGTGCGCTTATCGAAGAAAGTATTTAGACACAAAAAAAGTGCGTATGTGATGAGACATGAGGTATAAAGTGCTTTATACAAACAAGTCAATTTACTATTTAATTAAATAAGGTCCTTTGGATATTAATTTAGAGCAGCATAGCTGGTTAAAGTCCAATAGTCCCAGTCAAAAGAACATTCAACCGCTAAAAATCATTTACTGGCATTCCTGAATGGAAACATAACTGTAATTTGGCATCTTAATCCAGAAATAATAACATCATTTACCATTTACTATCATTTTGATTAAAGAGCTTGTGAACAATGGTGGTTTAACCATTACAGAAACATAAAAAATGATTTTGTTAATTCCCAGTGCTGTTAATTTAGGGCGTCTGTAGCATACCTCTTACACTGAGTGTGGTAGCAATTATTATTCAAGTTTTGCTTCTGTCTACTGAAAAGGTTAAACACAAGGGGAAAATATGTTTTCAAACTGTACACGAGGTGAGTGAAATGAACTAAGGGGAGAAGTACAAAAAACACAAAAGCCAATGACAATTTTTAAAGTTCACTTACTGTTTAAAAACAAGCGCCAGTTAGAGTAATGGGCTAAAAAAAAAAAGAAAGAGTGTGGACCACAAAAAGATTTATGAACAGCAGTCACAACCACTGTCAGCTGCTTTAACTTAACAGAACTGCCTTCGACTGTGAGCTTCATGGGACATGACATCACAGATAGCATTGTTTTCTCACTATGACTCAATTGGTTCTTTTTTCTCTTTTTTTTTGCACAGAGAAAATAGGAATTAGAAAGAGTTCCAAGTTTTGAGAGATATTTTATTGGACACAAGATGGCGCTAAGGCGTCAGAGTTGGAAAAATGGAAACAATGCTGCATCTTTGGCAGCTGCAAGGAAAGGTAGAGAAAGTTCCTTTAAAAGAGTGCCGTAGCAGCAACAGTGGGACAAAAGCTACTGTCAGCAGGAACTCCTCGCTGTGAGGTGAGGATGTAAGCTGTGTTTGGAAAACACACAGGTTGAAACAAGTCCCAAGTTTGTGCTTGATGTCCCGTCCAAAGGATGGCACGAATGTACTGAACGGGTGTTTCACTGTACCGATGGCTGACTGAGAGAGAGAACGCAGGCCCAGGCGAGTCTTTGTAGGTGTTTGTCTCATAAGAATGATTACCAACAATCCCAAAGCGTCAAATGTTCAGCCAAGACATGATTTGTGGGCAAGTAAAGAACCTCATTTGTCAGTGATGACAAAATGAAGACGAGCCAAACAACAGCACGGAAAGAAATGAAGGTGATAAACAGCATATATATATCTATATCTATCTACATATACACACATACATACATATTAGAGAGAGAGAGAGTAGCGAGCTAGACAGATAGATATGACTGCTGTGAAGATCATCACTCCATAATTAACCAGCCCACATGGAGCCGTTTTTGATTGTCCCTCTGATCTCTGCTGTTTACATGCTTTTGCCATCTGTTGATCAGTTATTGCAGCCTTTCGCAATGCATCAAAACTGCAATTCATCATTTGATCAATAATTAATTGTAAAGACCAAAAAAGGGAAGGAAAAAAAAACAACCTAGGATTTGCTGGCAGGAGGCACCTAAAATCTGCCAAAAGTCTGACTGTGGCGTGACCTGCTGCATCTATTTGTTCAAATATCCCACTGAGTATTTACTGTGGTCACAGCTCTTTGATCAAAAAGACTGAAGTACTGAACTTGTTAATTTTCTCATGTTTTTTAAACTCTCCCGATACACTAAAAACCAGTATCTGTGACGCCGTCATGTAAAAGTATTTAAACGGCACAACATCAAGAGTCGGAGGGTTTGAGCCGTGGTTGCTCCACCCTGCATGCTTAAGTATCCTTGGTGAGATACTGAAGCCTGAGTTGGCCTTCATGATTTCACTGGAGTGTGAACGTGTGAATGTTAGATATAGCAAGCACTCAGACATAGAAAAAAGTGCTGGAATGAATGGGTGACTGAGCAATGTTATACAAAGCATCTGTGAAGGTTCTCAGTCATCCAGGTCATCGTAGTCAAAGGAGCTTGCAAAGAAAAGCGTCTGGACTTCTTTAAGTTATACAAAACACTTTGAGTGATGAAACAGAGTAGAAAGGTGCATTCCATTTCTCTTAATAAACCCTTATCTAATCTGCAACCACGAACTGGATAAACAGTTAAGAAAATGGATGGCTGTGATCAAATGAAATGAATCACAACGGGCTTAAAGTAGTGAAGATTTACTCCTTATTTCTTAAATATAAAAGAAGGACATTGTGTTAGCAACTGAGACATAATCATTTTAGTACCGTGCAACGTGCGAAACTTTGCACCCATGCCAGACGAGCAGCAAGGAGCACATCATCACATGCTGATGAAGAGCGCAGAGTGTGTATTGTTAGTGCACATAAAGTGATTCTTCATGATAGCTTTAAAGTAGTATTCTACACTGTTGCTTCTCAAAGAAAATCTAAAGCTTTAAGAGACAAAAGGAAAGAAATATTACTCACGGGCTTCCCAGGAGGGCCTCTCTCTCCTGGATTTCCAGCCTTGCCCTTCAAGACGAGAAATATACAAATGAATCATTAACGTGTATTGAAATACGTTAGGTTAACTCAAATCAAACCCATTACCATGTCTGATGGTGATACAGTTCCAGCTACTACTGCACAGCAGAAAGAGGGAGCAGGCATGTTTGACACTGATGGCTCAAACATCGAGTTTTAGGGAATTTCTCTCAGATGAAGACAAAAATGTGAGTGTTTCACAGGAGGAATAAATAAATGTGTTGTTCATTTATCTTCAACTGCTTGATGGTTTCGGCGCAAAACAGCCCAAATGTTTACTTTCATCCTGCTACTCCTCAGCTTATTGAGATCAGGTTTCTTTTACTACAGACCACCAGCAGCACAGGCGAATAACATTTGCGTCTAATCCGCCACAGGGGCAACTAGACCAAAGCCTCCCTCTGAAGATAAAAACTGCTTAAAGTCTGATGGAGCTTGTTGTTCTTGATGCTGTTTGAAATCAGACGCACTCGTGACCTTTCCATGAAGTGAATGTGCATCTTCAAAAAGGGGGGCGTGCTTGTTGGCTTGTCCGATGAAGCTGGATGACGCATATTTTATGACTTTTTTTTTATTATTCTTGGCGTCAGACAGATGAAGCTACATGTAAATGTACTCAAAAGCCTTCAAGTATATGTAAAACACACAGCATTCCCTGTTTCTCTCTTATACGGATGTGAAAACACGTTGACCTAAAGACTACTTACTATGAAGCTCGGCTCTCCTGTAGGTCCGATCTCCCCCTTTTCACCCTGAAAAACATACCACCGTTTGGAACGAGATTTAGGATAAAGCCTCAGCTAACACACAGGAATTAGTGTCAATTTCCGACTATATTTATACCATGATGTTACCTTGATGCCCTCAGGACCCAGTTCTCCCGGTGGGCCATCTGGACCTCGGGGTCCCTGTGCAAAAACAAGACGAGCCACACCACTGAACATCACTCAACAAAGAAAGGACAGTACATCGAGCATCTAAGCTCTCACATGCCAACTATGGGTAATGAAACAGCACCACCAGCAAAGTAATTAGTCTGTACTGTTTGTCTGTTTGGGGAGGTGTTCCAACCTGATGTAGCAGCCTCCCACCCCCACAGCCATTCAGGGGTTTCACAGCATTGTAGCGCCACCATACAGAGACAACGATCTATAACACCGACACCCTCAGCCCCCCTCTTTTTTGCTCCTGTCCATGCTTTTAGATCTTTCAGCTTATCTCTCCATTGAGTCTTCCTTTTATATCTCTTTCTTTGAGGACAAATCTGCTGCTATTTTGCTTGAGCCTCTCGTGTCACTCTGCTCTTTTATCTTCCTTGTAGGATTTATCGTTATATTCTTTTTCCTTTAGTTCACCTCTCCAACCTCTGTCTTGATTTAAACACCATTGAGTCATTTACTTTTGCCTAAACTTTCCTGTTATAATGGATGCTATGTTCATTTATCTGTTTAATCTGTTAATAGGCTGGAAAACAACTTTTCTTAGTGGCACGGACACTGACTGAAGGCAGGTGACGTACATTCACCCCTGCAGTGTGGCACTGAAGTGTTGGAGCAGTAAAATGATGACAACACTGAGTTGCCATAAGGTTTGCTGTCATTTTAAAGGTCAGTTTGGTCAGCTTGGCTGTCTGTCTCACAACTAACCAGATGTTGACCGAGATTCATATTTATTCATGTTTTTTTGGTGGGAAAATAGGCAGAGCAGGTATTTAGTTGTTTCAATAACAGCTGTTTTTTAATAATTCACTTTAGTCAGTTTTCTTTGGCCTACAATAAATCACATGCATTTACAATGACTGATGTATTTGACCTCAACAAAGACAGAACTGACACATGTGTGAATTATGTTAAACAACTCAAGTTGCAAGTGTCGTATGTCTTTCTGGGCAAAATATGCAGAAGGAAGAAAACATTCTGAGAATTAAAGAAGACGATCTCAGATGAGAACTAAAGTAATGTGGTAGTAACTTATTACAATTATTTTTTCTCCTAATAGGACACATTCAACTAGAAAGCTGCTGTTTGGTGCAGAAGCTACTGTAAGTGGATGCAAACTATCAATTTAAAGGGGAGATTTTTGCAAAAATAAAAGTTTGAAAAGTCCAAAATGAGCTTCTGCTTGCTTACGTTAGCCCAGCATTTTACAAGAAAGCACCAAACTTTTAACTACCTTGCTAGTAAAAGAAATTTGGAAAAGCTGCTTATGTGTTAACAATTAAACGATTCTTCGGGGACTTTTCTAAATGTCAAGATACAAAACAAAAGAGTTTGTTTCCAATCAAATAAAAAAATCCAATCTTTTTCTGAGGGCAAACAGATTTCTGTTAATACCACAGGACTGCAGTAACCTTATTAAAAGATAACAGGACGTGCCGTGGCATGTATATCTGCCAAGTTGGTTCAAGAGTTGAAATTTGCTTCCTCCTTAATTTCTGCTGCAGCAGAATTTAAATTCTTAGAAAATCACAAGCACAGAAACCAGAAACTGTTCTTGTGCCACCTGTAGGTGTTGTTCTTCTCTCTGCCACACGATGTCCCACCAGCATTAAATCACCTCACTGGTTTGACCTTACAATGATTTCGTCTAACACTAGATCCATGGGGCTCGTGAAACAGTTGTAATTGCACCTATAAAGAAGCTTGGGCCATGTGGAACGACATCCACATGTCTTTTAATTGCTTCAAGCTCTGGTTTATAGGAAAGAAGATGTGATGTGAAACAGACAAACCAAAAGTCTGATGAGGGAAGTTTTTTTTAAGGGACTGATGCAGCTTGTGCCCAAATGTTAGTCTCCTCTTACCCTTCTACCCTTTGGCCCAGCAATGCCTGGACTACCCCTCTGTCC